CACAATGCCCGACTATTTTTTTGGTTGCAGCTGTCATTGTTTGGCGGGCCCAGGCTGGATTCAAACCCACCACCTTAGGTGTATATGGCTGGCGCCTTAGCCACTTGAGCCACAGGCACTGAGCCTTAAGCGAGTCTCTTGCCTCAGCCTCCCAAATAGCTGGGACTATAGGCAGCCACCACAATGCCCAGCTATTTTTTTGTTTGTTTGTTTGTTTAGTAGGCCCAGGCCAGGCTCAAACCCACCAGCTCTGGAGCATGTGGCTAGCACCCTAACCACTCGGCTATGGGCACCCAGCCATCCCACTGAATTTCTTTTTAAAGCATCTTAAAATATCCTTGCCTAATCACAAACACTTTTATAAGTGTCTACATCTTGTCAATATAGTATGTCTCAGGGCTTTGCAACCTGAATGTCAGGACCCTCCTTCCTCAGGTCCACTCTAATAATGGTCACATAGTTTCTATTATTCACTCTTGCCCTTATCCAGAGAGATGCATGAGAACAGTCAGGTGCAGATGGCCTACTTGAAGTGCCCCTACTGCTTTGCAGGCAAGTCTCCCAGACTTCCCACCCTTTGTCATTCACCGCCAGGAGGAGCCAAGAGGATACGGGGCAATCCGGTCCCATTTGACATTCAGCATTCCAGAGACAATGCCAAAGTCTTCTGGAGGGAAAGAATCATCAGATAATTCCACATCTAACGCAGCACTAGGAAATGGAAAAAACAAAAAGGTTAGTTCATAAGAGATATGAAATTAATCAAATCGGCCTGCTTGTCCTACAAAACCAGAACTGCAGAAGAAAGGTATGAGTCAAATATAACTCAGGGCCACTGCATTGAAGAATACAGGTCAAGGACTGGATTCTATTGCTTAGGAGCACCAAAATAATTAAGTATCTAGAAGGGAATGGGCACAAATCCATTTCTGCCTCAATTTCTCTTTGTGAATGTGGGTATGTGTGTACGGAGGCAGTGGGGAGAGAAGCAAGAGGAATATGGAAGAGAAAATAAAATGGACTTGAAAGAAAGGCAACAAAAATGCTCCGGCTTGGCGCCTATAGCTCAACCGGCTAAGGCGCCAGCCA